AACCGCTCACAGCGCCTATTTATTTTCATCAGAAATACAATAGTAACCTAATCCTATAATGGAATATTCTTTTTTTTTATTATTTTTAAAAAATATTAACAGAGAAATGGATTATCATATATATATTTGTTGTGTTACGTTCTATCAATTCGTTGATACGTTTGTCCAGAGTCGTAAGTAATAGTGAGTTGTAGCAGGTGAAAAATAATCTGCCAAAGAAGTAGGCCTCTACTATTTTTTTTTTGTCAGCAAAACACTAGCCTCTATTTCCATTTTAACAAATAATTATATATATATAAATAATTATTACTAATATGACGTAAACCGATATCAACATGTTAGTAAGAAAACGAAGATTCAGATAATATTAATCATGCATCGACCTAAAGATAGAATAACTATTTAAATTACTATATCTACAACCAAATAAAATTAACCTAAATATTACACAATTATATTTTGATTATATCCGATTACAATTGAATATAAAATCCGAACCAAATAAAGATTGAATCACATGTACATAAAAAATCAAAAAAAAAATTATATAAAAAAAAATGGAGGTGAAAGGAGAAGGTGGTGGCGTGTTGTAACGAAGTCTCTGTCATATTTTGATAATTTAATCATGTACTCTGCTGCCACCCCCAAGATTTTGCTTCAGCTTTTTCTTTTTATTTATTCATTTTCTTCCAAAATAATTCCGATTTCCAAAGTTTCTCAATGGGTTATATTACCCATCCTTTTTTTTAAATTATTTTTTATCTGATAAGACAATTAATTGGTATTAAAAAATAAAAATTATAAACTACAAATTGTATACATCTCTTTCATTTTCGTCACTGACAGAGAATACCCCTGCTCTTTTTCTCATGCACGCACGCATACTCAGACTCTCTCTCTCCCCTCTCTCCCTCATTCCTTGCTTTTAAATTTTATTACGTAAATAGTGTATAGATTCATGTTAATAACAATTTTTAAAAAGTGAACGCATTTACTGTTATTATTAATTTCGCTTTACAACGTATATACATGATTCAATGTAATCATTTACGAATTATTAAAAAAGGAAAAAAAATAAAATATTTTGGATTTTTACGGTCTCTAGAAAATCGATAAAACTCGAAATATGATGTAATATCGTTTTGGACTTGGCTCGCTTCACTACAGGACAAGGCAGAGAAAACACAGTTTTCCTATGTATAGAGGTACCTGTCTTTTTATTATCATTATTATCACCACGCCATTTATTCTAAAAAAAAATATTTAATTAAAAAAAAGCATGCATTATTTTCGCCGTTTTTTTGATTTATCAAATCCCAATGACAAGAAAATCGCCATCACACGATTATAACTACGTCGGTCGCTTCCTCCACATGCACCACCATCACATTATATTTTCCTCTTGAAGGGTTTCTACTGAAACCGAAGTGTCATTCCCTCCACTTCCACATCATCATCGTCATCATCAAGGAACCTGATCTTCATGGACATTCCTCATTACCACTTGGATAATGGATCGGACGGTCAATATCTCCCGCCAGGCTTCAGATTTCACCCCACCGACGAGGAACTCATCATACACTACCTCCTCCGCAAGGTTCTTGACAGTTGCTTCTCAAGCAGGGCCATTGCAGAGGTTGATCTCAACAAGTGCGAGCCTTGGGAACTTCCCGGTACACAGAACTCGCCATACTCCACTTTTTTTTTTTGTACTTGATAAGGTTAGTGAAATGTTCACGTTCTAGAAGATCACTGGTTCAAGTCTTTTTTTGAGGCAGAGAAAGCGAAAATGGGAGAGAAAGAGTGGTACTTTTTCAGCCTCCGAGACCGGAAATATCCGACGGGGCTGAGGACGAACAGAGCCACGGAGGCCGGTTACTGGAAAGCCACGGGAAAAGACAGGGAGATATACAGCTCCAAGACTTGTGCACTTGTCGGGATGAAGAAGACTCTTGTCTTCTACAAAGGGAGGGCACCAAAGGGCGAGAAGAGTAACTGGGTCATGCACGAATACCGCCTCGAAGGCAAATTCTCTTACCATTTCATCTCTAGAAGCTCGAAGGTAACATCTTTTCTCCAACTTTTTTGTAATAAAGTTTCAGTCTTTTTTGTGTTTGTTATTATTATTAATGGAAGGGGGAGATATGTGTGTCGCAGAGATGGTGACGTCTTTGTTTCTGTGGGATGTGCAGTGTGCGTTTTCTTTTGCATTTAATGCAATGGCTGAAAAGGGCATGTTTTAGTTAATAGGGTTAGTGCTTTGGTAGCATGAGCTATCATAAAATAGTAAAAACGTGCAGTCTTTTATTGGGATTTCAATCTTAATACCACTCCCTAAACGATTATTAATTCGGGCAACTTTTGGAAAAACCAATGCATCAGGCAAATCCAATGCAACCCCATCTTCAAGATCTTCTGATCAAAACATTAAATAACACTTAGCAAATTCTTACTCATATCCAATGTGCATTTCACCACACTCTACACTTTTGTTCCATGGTTTTTTCCTCGTATCATTGTATTTTCTTTTTTTTTCCTTCGAAATTTACAACAACAACAACAAAAAATCTGACCTTTTTTTTTTATTGGATTCATACACATGCAGGACGAGTGGGTGATATCTAGGGTTTTCCAGAAGACTTGCACCGGAGCCAACACCGGCGGCGGCGTAGCTGCTAAGAAGACAAAAATGCCCAACGCCGTGGGCGGGATTTACCAAGAACCCAGCTCTCCGTCCTCCATCTCTCTCCCTCCTCTTCTCGATCCCACCGCCTCCACTGCCGCCGCCACCTCTTATGACAGCTGCTCCTACTACGGCCGCAGCACCACCGCTAGCGCCGTCGCCGAGCACGTGTCCTGTTTCTCCACTACTAATGCTACAGCCTCTACCCTGGGCCTTAACTCCGACCCGTTTTTTCCGCCGCCGCAGCCGCCGGCCGTGAGCTTTGACCCATTTGCCCGTTTCTTTTCAAGAAACGTATGCGGCGGTGGCGGTGGTGGTGGTGTCTCGGCTTTACCTAACTTTAGGTCTTCCAACGACAATTTCAATCAGTTGCCTTATTTTGGCGCGTCCGCATCCCCGGCGGTCGTAACTCCGTTGTCCCATGGAGGCAGCGCCGAGAGCTACTGGCCGCAGTCGCTTCCGCAGATGCCGGAAGGTAACGAGACGAAAGCTGGTCTTGCTCATATAGGACTTGACTTCATGTGGAACTACTGACCGTATGTGAAGCGATGATCTTGTTTCCAGCTAGGGTTTCTCTCTGTGGTGTGTTTATCTATGATTATGATGACTATAGATGCATGTTGATGTTGTTTTCCTTAACCTGAGTATCCCTAGGGGTTGTTTAAGTTATCATGTTTATGTTCGTTGTCTAGTTGTGATATTATGTATGTTGGAGAATTAATGTTGTTGAACCGTTGAAGCATATGATATATTTATTATGTTTTTTTTCGTTGTTGTGAAAGTCATCACTAATGGCCGTAGTTTATGTATGTAATCTCGCAGATCTTTATTGATTATTATATATATATATATATATATATATATATATATATAAAACGAGAGGATTGTGGAGTGATAATAATTAGATAATACATTCAAGTACGTGTACATGTATATGGCCAGATAGTGTATGTGATTTTTTGGTTGTTGTGAAAGTTATCACTAATGGCCGTAGTTTATGTATGTAATCTCTCAGATCTTTATTGATTATTATATAATATAAACGAGAGGTTTGTGGTGCGATAATAATTAGATAATGCATTCAAGTACGTGTACATATATATAGCCAGATATTGTATGTGGTTCCAAAGCAAAAAAAAAAAAGTGAAATTAATATAATTTGAAATGGGTGATTAATGATGCATGCAAAACACTAGCTAGGGCAATTGAGAAAGGCCGTGAAAATCATGCATGGTGACGAAATTAGGCTCAGAGGCTGTGCGTACAAACAGTCCACCTCACTTTCAGTAGGATAGGGCTATCAACTTTCTATTTGTAGAAAGAGACATAATTAATGCTCTCCCTGTTATTACCATTAATTGTACATACGGTCAATCCGTGTGTGTATGCATAATTGGCCTTCATCATCGCCTGCGTATGCCCATTATCGTTTTCCTTTTATCGATTACATGACGCTTCAAGCTTAACAAAAACGATTTCATGATGTAGGCTAGTGGAGATTGTGTTGGAACGTTTGGTCACGTTCGGCCACGTTTGATGTCCCGAATTGATGAAATTCTCCAAACTTTATGATTGGTCTCCCAAAACACCACAAATACTATTCTATTCCTATTTACATGCGCCTTATACTATATGGTCGCCTCCTCCAAAAACTATATGCAACTAACAAGGTATGGCCTAGTGACATTTATTCTTAACAAACTTTCTCTTAGTACTCCTTTGACAAAAAATAAATAAATTCTCTTAGTACTATATTATATATCATGATTCAAGGTTTTGCATCGTTATCTTTAAATATTGTGCATTCACACACTCGCACACGCGTGCGTACTAAAGATGTTAACTTAAATTACAATTGGGATACGGTCTAATACTCAATATATATATTGTGTAATTCTGTTTGGATATCCCACGTTACAAAGGAAATAACCCTCTATATATAGAGCTATATCACGCCATGTTTAAAAGAGTCAAATTTGGAGAGGTGAAGATTTGTTTGCTTAGAAATATTTTTCGAAACTCGAGTAGAATGCCGATAAATGTATTAGTTAGCCTATTGAATTCACTGGTACACCAATTGAATATCTTTACAGTGATGATCATCATGATTTTATTGCGTATATACATATACATATATACAAAAATATATATTAAAACAATGAATACATAAAGATATGTGAGGGGTCTTTTGTCGGACTAAAACTAATCTCTCGTATTTGTATTCTTGCTTGCAAGAATATTCTCCAAATTGCTAAATGTAACAAGAAATAAGTAGCAGAACCACAAAATTCAAAACAAGTACATGCATGTTTCTCACCAAATGACAAACATCCAACTCCTCCCCTCCCTCCCTCCCTCGCTGTCGCTTCAGCTGATGATGGCTCTGTGGTGCCGTGGTGGTCCCTACTTTCTAGTCTCTCTCCAGGTGGCGAGTGCTCATTGGTGGCGGTGTCAAGGCACGTGATCTGAGCATGGGTTGGGAGTTTGTAATGTAACGAGTGGAGTGAGATCGATGTATGTGCATGGAAATGGAAATGCACGCGTCGTACGGGATCGGAGCCGAGTTTTGGAGCATATCACCAATATGGTGGTGCTGGGGAAATTGCGAGATGAGAGAGAGAGAGATAGAGAGAGAAGGAGGAAGATTGATGATATGTCAAAATTCCAAAAGCTAGGGTTTGGACGTTTTCGTTATAGAATTAATTAAAGACAGCTAAGTCATGAGCATCTGTGCCGGCCGGTTCAGTGTTCTGAATGAGCCGTACATTTCTTCTTCGTAAAGCCAACAAGACCCATAAAAATCGAGTTTTCATGCAAAAAAAAAAATCACGTGGAAGAACAACAACCTTTTCAGAAATGTGAATTCTTGAATCCCATAGATTCATCTGTTAGGTTGATTTTAGTGAAAACGTAGGGTTATTGTACGTATAAAAGGGCAAAAGGTCGAAGCTTTTGTAACGGACCTTAATTATAGCCCACAAAGTCTTAAATCATGGCATTCCGGGCTCGGGCTCGGACCGGCCCAACCCGATTTTTTCGGGCCTATATAATTAAGGCCGAAGCCCGACCCTATACATTCCGGGCTCGAGTCGGGTCGAGCTGGGCCGGGTCGGCCCACAGACCTCGCTTTGTAAATGTTATTTTTTTTCCTTTTTTCTTTTTTTTCTTTTTTAATTTTAGGGCTTTCGGGTCGGCCCGACTCGAGCCTGAAGCCCGATTTGAGCTCGGCCCGAAAGTCCGATTTTTTTCGGGCCAAGAAACTTTGGCCCGAAGTCCGCTATTTTTCGGGCCGGACTTCGGGCCCAAATTGACACCCCTAAATCATGCGACATAATATATAAGTAATATACGCGATAACCCAACTTGGGTAATTCAATTAGTGAAATGTAGATGCAAAGCGTATGTTCCGTTATGTCTCGCCCTGAAGTCGAGTCTAAAGTTGGAGAAAAAAACACATTCTAATCATATAGTTTGCTCTCTTCCCGAGATTAGTTTGAACCTCGGCCTAAGACACCCGAATACCCAAAAAAATAATATACACGATTCATAGCTTAAACTCAGAAGTGATATAGTTTGCATTCCCTTTAGTGTGAATGAGAGATAAAATTCGTTTGTGGATTTCTCTTGTCTTAGGAAAGGCTCGTGTGTATATATACACACACCCCCCCCAAGTAACATTCTCATTATATACACACACACCCAAGTAATACACAGCTATGTTTTTCAATGCTTCTGTTGGTGGAGAATGTTGAGGTCTATATTATAGATATACTATATGATAAATTAGAGTGTTTAATTTCTATTACCACAATTCATTTATGAAACTTTATATTTTTCAAACTTTAGTCGTAAATGTAATTGAGGTGTATCTTGGAATTATATCTAAGTGCTTTTTAATCTACAAGGAAAAATGTTAATTAACCCGCCTTATGATAGTCAAGTGGTTGTAGATAGATAATGTAGAGGTGTTGGGACAGTTATTTCAGGTTACATGTTCGCCTTCACAGACGAGAAGGAGGGTGTCTTTGGATCTCGTGTAGTTGGGTGGAACATCCAAGAATTTTCGGATTATAAAAAGAAAAAAAAAAGTCAAAATGGGAAGTGATAGTTGACTTTTGGGGGCCCATATCAGGACCATTTCGTCGTACTTTATCGGACAGCATCCGGACTCAAAAATCGGCCCAATGGATCAACATAATAAAAAGCAGCTTAGAGAACAAAAACAATAGTGTGGTGAGAGAGAGAGAGAGATACAACGTAATGGGAAAGACCTTTGTAACGTTGCATTCTACAGAAGACTCTCTCTCTCTCTCTCTCTCTCTCTCTCTCTCTCTCTCTCTCTCTCTCTCTCTCTCTCTCTCTCTGGGGTCAGTTTAAACAATTTCTGATAACACAGAGGCAAAGATCAGTTATCAATGAATGGCATTGGCTTTCTTGAATCCGCTGACACATACCCAGTCATCCATTTTGGACACAGAAATACACTCCAAGAACTGAGAGTACCGTTCTATCACATCCGGAAGCTGCACACGAGAGACACAAACATGTCGGGTTTTAAGCACTTTGTCCGCGGGAAAAAAAAAAAGCTTGCAACTTTGCCATATAAATTCATTCATGTTATCAGTTGGCACCTGTTCAGAAAGAATACCGGAAATGCCAACACTTGCCCCGGCCTTGGCATGTGAAACTATATGATCCGCCAACTCAATAAGCGGATTCAAGAGAATGTTTGCAACGACAACGTCAAAGTGTTCTTTTCGCAACTCTACTTCGACCCCAGAAGAGCTCTTCTCCTCGTCCTTCTGTCCATGATCAGACAGAAGAGGCGTGTTCTCGCCTGGAACAAGGTGCAACTGCAGTTTCTCCGGCTGAATGCTGTTAAGGGCTGCGTTATGACGTGCCGATGTAATTGCCAGTGGATCGATATCGACGCCAACAGAACATGCAGCTCCAAACTTCAATTTTTAACGAGCATTGCAGAAAAGTATATTTTCGTCATACGGGTATCATAGAAAACAGCAGATCATGTAAAATGATATATTTATAGATCTGAGATTTTCGACTTTTTCACCTTAAGGGCTGCAATTGCCAGAATTCCCGAACCAGTACCATAATCAAGGAATGTTTCTCCCCCTTTTATCAAGCTCCGTAGAAGCAATAGGCACAGTTTCGTAGTAGGATGCTCCCCCGTTCCAAATGCCAACCCGGGGTTCAGAATTATGTTAACTGCTTCAGCAGCCTTGCACAGAACACAACAAGCATACAAAACTGTTACATATACATACACATAAATACATGACTGTATTTCTTTGTGTAAGCTGAAGTTCTGCAATTAAGTATCTACATAAGCCGCTGAAAGAAATTGACAGGTTATATCTTGGTTTCACATCATGATGAACTGATGGATAAAAAAACCCTTCAGACAAAACATTTGAAACATACAGGGGGAGATGTCCACTCGGGCACGATCCAAAGTCCATCTGCCACTTCGACGGGCCGAAACGATTCCTGAAGCAGATGAGTGAAAGGAAACAGGGAATGTGGTTTTCGGATTTCAACCACGCAAATTTTCATGAATGGACCAAGAATGTCACCCTATTACTGAAAATGCTCTCACCTGAGTCTTGGTTACCCAGTCATATTCCTCTCCCATTTCAACTTCGTAATTCGGTATCTCCTTCAAGCCTACCAAATCCGCAGCCTGTGAAATGCACATTTTCACCTCTCCGTCCACCGGAAATATCGAGTCTATACGTATCTGTGCACTTGACCAGGAGTAGGATAAGCAAACAGGAGCATGGCATTCATAATTCTAGACGAATCTACCAGAAAGATTGAACATTGATAGACGATGAGCTAAGACGTCTCAGCAATATCTAACAAAACCAGTTGAAAGAGTTAAAGCAATGGTAACCAAAGATTGGTGCCTTTTCTCATCCACTCGGATTCAAACTCGGAAGTTTTAAGGATCTTGAATTATGATCGGATCTATACGGAACTGACTGCAAGGGAGCAAGAGAAAGAGCTTTGCGAAAGGATAAGCTTTTCATGGATTTCACCTCATCGGAACCAACACAAGACCCAGGAGCCGCAATGTCGTCTTCTTCATCCACGCTGACTGAACTCGCGCCAAAACACAGCAGTGCCTCTGAGAACGGATCCTAATAAAACCCACATGTATTAATCTACGCCAACTAGAAATCAGAGAGAGAGAGAGAGAGAGAGAGAGAGAGAGAGGGAGAGAGAGAGGAGGCATACAGCGACATGTTTGGGACAGTGAATGCGAACTGAGAGGTAAGGTGCAGTGAATGGCTCAGCATTAGCAGCAAAGGAGGAAGAAGAAGAAGAAGAAGAAGAAGAAGAAGCGGAGACAGAGAACAAGGAACGAGGCGTAGAAGAAGAAGAGAAGCGTTGAGGCTTGAGGAAATGGCGGGAGAAAGTCTGGTAAGAAATGCACGGAAGGTGTTTGAAGAAATTACAAGCCGACATTTTTTTTGCCCTTTTTCTCTGGGGTCTTTTCTTCAAGGAAAATTTCCAAATTCTGGAATTGGCATCAAACAAGTTTACATTTTTATGCCCAACGAAAAAGTAAACAATTCTTCCCAGAACTAAACCTTTCGTGAAACCCAAGAGACAAGATAATCGTTAATCCACAAAACTCACCAATGGCGTTCTCTGCAAACCCTTTCTCGCTGAGCGTACCAGACCCAGCTTTCGAGTCATGGCTCCGAGACTCCGGCTATCTCGAGCTCTTCGACCACCGTACCTCCGCCGCCGCAGCCACCTCGGCCTCCGACGACGCCGTTTCCACCATCACGGGCGGCTTCTCCGCCTCTCTCTTGTCGCGGTTCGCCACTCTCTTCTCCCTTCTCGCAATCAACCCCTTCTCGAAGCTCGCGCCCGATGACTTCGCCGGAGATACGCCGCTGTGGACCACCGGATTCTTGGGCTCCGTCGACTCTTACTCGTTCCCGTCGTCATCACAGCAGGCGAGGATGAGAATCCATGAGAACATCAAGCGGTTCGCCAGGAATTACGCCATGCTTTTAATCGTCTTCTTCGCTTGCGCTCTGTAAGAATCCGTTTCCCCCAGTTTCTTTGATATGGTGCCTTGAACCTTTCCAAGTTTCTCTCTTTTGGGATTCCTAGGCAAAAGCTTAACGATTGAGTGCCTGAATTAAGAATGGGTAGTGTGCTTGGTCGTTAATTTGGGTGTTTGGACTCTGTGTTTGTTCATTGTAGGTATCAAATGCCAGTTGCACTGGCAGGGTTGTTGGCAAGTTTGGCCCTTTGGGAACTGTTCAAATTCTGCAGTGACAAGTGGGAGTTTGATCGCTACCCTGCGATTCGCCAGTTTCTGATTCGTGTTGCTCAGTGTGGTGAGGCTTCTGATCAAGCTCTTTGGATATACTATCTTTGCCGATTTGTGTATGACATATGCTTAGTCTTAGTTCATCCTGTGGTTTTCGCTAGTGTCTGTCTGTGTAAGCTAGTTGCAGTCCTGTCATGGTGGCTTTTTCAGTTCCTCGACTTGTCTATAACCACTTTTTCACAGAATGCTCAAGAATGTTTGATTTAAATGAAAAGGAGAAACCTTTTGGTTAACGGAAACTAACTTTGGAATGGATTGTTGCTTGCTTGTTAGTCAATCATTGGAATCGCTGGTACCGAGTAGAAGCGACTGAATTTCGCAAAACCCACCTACTCGTTTTGCTTTCTCACTTCAGAGAATCAAGTGTATATATGGTTTATATGGAGGCTTGTGCCGAATAAGAGGGCTGGCAATAGCGGCAGATTGGTTTTTCCAGGGCTTAGTCAATCTAGTATCGTATTCAGAAAACTCTCTTGCTTGTTTTGGACCATGGTTTAGTTCAAATGAAACCATACAGAGTTGGGAATGTGTTATGGATTCGAATACCGAACGAAAGTTCAAACTATAGTTGCTTACTCTCTTTTTTCCGGTTTTCCTCGCAGCAACCGTTGTTCTTCTGACGTTGTTGAATGTTCAAATGGCTCTTTTCTATGGATTTGCAATCAGTTATGGAGGTATTAATGGTTCATCATCGTTTAGCTTTGTGCTTATTGCCCCTTCGTACACTGATGCCTTTCATGCTGTGTTTGCTAGTTATGATATTGCACGCTGCGTTCAGGAAGCTCTCCCCTTCCATGAAACCATCTGGACAGAGATAAAGCTTCAAAGCATGGCTTACGCATTTCAATGGCGAAAGCTTTTGGATTCGGTTTTGAATCAGATCCTTCGTTTTTTTTTTTTCTTTTTTTTGACGAACAATAATAACGCTTGGAGGATGTCTACGTTACTACGTATCCGAGTGGATTGCATTTGCATGTGTGTTTACGATCACTGAGAGAGAGACAGCAGTGAATACACGGAGTTACACGAGAATACACGGTGAATACACGGACTTGGGCCCTCGTCGTTTATGTTTGGGCATAGAGCCCAATGTATAGACCAATATAAGTATCGGCCTACTCATATATTATGGATGATTTATATACCAAGTTAAAAAAAAAAAAAAAAAAAATCGAGCACCAAAAATTTGGTATTGTTCTTTGTGGAGATATCCCCCTGTTGATTCGATGTGGGACATGTTTTATACAAATTTAAAAAAGGGAAACTTTCGAGTATTTTCTATTCGATAAATTCGTATCAACACTTTCGATAAAATGGCAAGTCATTCTTTCACGTAAATGGCCGAATCAACGCATCTTTCTATCAAATATCGAATCTCTTACTGATATAAATGGAATTGAAACTATATAATATTTTTAAAACTATTTGAAATTCATTTCATATTTTCAGATCGTCCAACAAAAAAAGAGAGAGACAGAGAATGAATGAGAGTTTTGTCCGAAGAAGACAGCAATCCAAACCCAATCTCACTGTTAACCACCGCACGTGACGCTGCACATTTTATTGTTATTGACATCCCAAATTCCATATTCTATAATATGTAGTGTATATACACACTATATATGACACTAACACACGCATATACACATATACACACATATACATAACATACCATGCAGTGTGTACACGTTCATTTTACGTATTATGTATAATATATATATATATATAATGTATACTAGAAAATAGAAGTAGGTTCAGCCGTCGTACCTCAAATCCTTGAATCATATATACATCTTAATATACATGAGAAGACTGACAAATGAATCGGAATAAAGAGATCATTAAAAAAAAAGTGAACTGTAAATAAAAAAAGAAATCTCGATAAGGAAAAAAGATTCGGTGTTTTTCTTTTTACTTTTGAATTAAAAAACAGAGTTATTGTAAAGAGATGGAGATGAAAAGGAAAAAACGAAGACTTTTTCTATGTATAATATTTTTCACAAAAGCCAGGCAAGCAACTCACACCCGGCTCTTTGATAGGGAAAGGCAGAAAAAGAACGTTTACCTTCCTTTGGTAAAAGAACAAAATCCATTCATTCATTCATTCATTTCACATATATATATATATATATATATATATGTTTTTAAAATATAAAATGTTGAATCATATCGTATAAAACTAAATTTTATATACAGTAGATTGATATGTTTTATAAATTTATAATTAATCCAAATTAATAATTAAAATTTATATGATGAACATTTTGGTACGGTATCTTAGAATCGAATTGTAGTGAACTGAAAAATGTGTTAGTGTTTTCAAACCGAATCATTTAAAGTTCGTAATTTTTTTAAAAAACGATTTTTTCGTAACAGAATCGAATTTTTAAAAAATCTAAAAAACCAACTTTTTTTCAAAGAAAATCTAAAATTTTCTTAATAAAAGCCGAACACAATCGAATCCAAACCGAATCGAATCGAATATAAAATAATACATATTTTATAGAACCAAACAGAATTATTTACGGACCGAATATCGAAACCTTCTTCCTAAAAATTTGAATCAAAATATTTTATTTTAAATGGAATAACTAAATTAATAACTAATAGCTAATCAAACTAATTCTAAATAAATCAAGATTATTATAAAAATAAATAATTAAACTTTTTTTTTATAGAATTTGAAATTCAAATATAAAATAATAAAACAATCCAACCCAGTCCAATCTGTTAGCTGCAAATTTTCATAAAAGTACCTAAATTACACGTCAACCCTTAGTCACATGTACGTACACTTTTGTCACATTGTTATAGTCTTTATGCGATGAATATGAATTGGAAATATTACTAAGAGTTTTTCTTGCTGTAATTTCTTCTTAAACTAACCCTTGTCATGCATACCACGTTTTCACATTTTTATTCAACTAATATAATGTTCTATAAGATCATTGATTTCGTTCGTCGTCACTTTCTCTTATTACGCTATGGAATACTCTTATTTTTTTACCTGGTAAAATGGGTCATTATAACAATTAATATGTAGACTAATTGAATATGGATTCTGAAAATAAGAGTAAAAATAATCGAATCTTTATAAAAGCTAAAATTGAAATATTGATAGTTAGCTAAAAAAAAAAATGGGTCATTGACTCGGGGCAGTTTATTATGTGGGTTTGTTTAGCTTTGCTATTTTAGCATTTAATTGAGAAGTTTGATTTTGCTAACGCTAATTGATTTCATTTGATTTAATTTTAAAAATATAATCTTAATAAAAAGAAAGATTCGGTGTCGGGCCCACCGGATATACGGTCGTGAGCCGGGCCGGTCAATGCGGAGCCAAATGGATATTATCTCACGCGCTTTGTCTTTTTTCCACACGCGCTGATGCTATTTTTATCTGCCTGCGTAAATTATTGCCGTTCCGTTTTAGGAAAACAACCCTACTTTTTTTTTTCCATTGATTTTTTGGATTTTATCCCTAAAAAAAACTCTCACTTGTCTTTGTTGGTGCACTTTGATTTTTTTTGCTAAGATTTTATTTGATATCACTGATTGTGAGATATCATAACATTGATAATTTAGCCTTTAATTTATAAAAAAAAATGGAAAACGATCTTTCATCATTTTAATTCTTGGATATGAGAACATATTATATATCATTTAAATTATATTTTTAATTATCATAATAAAGAACCCTTATATCTTTTTTTAACGTATTAAAAATTTATAGGATATGCATTTTTGATTTTTGTAAAAAATATTGTGTTTTCGTTTTCATTTTTGAGAGATTTAACATTCACAAAACCGTATTACTGCACGCATAATAACTAGAGATATCTCTAATCATTTTTATTAGCTAGAAGCCATTGGATCTAATTGTATTATTTTCGTGTTTTATTAATTCCATCAATGTCAAACATTTCAAATCTGGATATTAATTACGAAATTAGAAGCGTTTGATTTATTTTTATTTTGTTCTTTTGCCTCGCGTGCAAGGAAAGGATTAAAAAAACTCACTGGCGAGTGGCGCGTGAGAGTTACGCGCGTGGGGGAAGACCCGAGTACCGCAATTCGTGCGGTTCGTATGAGTGACGCACCGACTTACTGTTCACGGCACGTGGGCACGTGATGTCCTCCCTCGTCTCTTTTTTTTTTAAAGTACTAAATTAACCGTTGATATAGAGTGTACTGTTAATTAATGATATTTATATCTAGTTAATTTAATTGCTTATTAGTTTTTCATTATTAATATTTTTTTGTTATTTACAGATCTCGTAACATTCCGAATCTCGTTCTACACTAAGATAAACCCGTTTAATTTCATTATACTGTATTTATATGTCTACCAAATCCAACTTATAAGGATATTAGAGTATATTTGTCTATTTTAGAACTAAAAACCACATTTCTCTTATTTATGTTCTTTGCATTTGAATGTTGTGATCACTCTCTTTTACTCGAAAGTAGTTTTATAGTTTTTTTTTTCTAATCAGAATGATTATTTATCGGATCTTTAATCCGACTACATATATTCCAGACTCGAAAGTAATTTGTGTCGCCGACAACTTAAAGGCCTGGTAACACCTCTATCCCCACCTGCGAAATCGAACCGATCACCAGAAACGCCTAACGATTTTAGAGATATCCGGTCATCTCTCGCGTCTACCACTCAGACCGCACAAGGTGGGTGGAAGTAGTTCTATAGTTGCAAATATTTTACTATATAATATATATACACACACGAAACATGAATATATAATGAAGAAATGCAGACATTTAGTACCTATATTATATAGTAATGTGTAATATAGAAAATAGTCAATATCATTAGCATTTTGGATGCCAAAATATATATATGGGCACGGTAATTACTTTCATTTACCTCATTAAAAGTTTTTTTTTCTGTAGGGGAAAGCCACGGGAAAAGACAGGGAGATATACAGCTCCAAGACTTGTGCACTTGTCGGGATGAAGAAGACTCTTGTCTTCTACAAAGGGAGGGCACCAAAGGGCGAGAAGAGTAACTGGGTCATGCACGAATACCGCCTCGAAGGCAAATTCTCTTACCATTTCATCTCTAGAAGCTCGAAGGTAACATCTTTTCTCCAACTTTTTTGTAATAAAGTTTCAGTCTTTTTTGTGTTTGTTATTATTATTAATGGAAGGGGGAGATATGTGTGTCGCAGAGATGGTGACGTCTTTGTTTCTGTGGGATGTGCAGTGTGCGTTTTCTTTTGCATTTAATGCAATGGCTGAAAAGGGCATGTTTTAGTTAATAGGGTTAGTGCTTTGGTAGCATGAGCTATCATAAAATAGTAAAAACGTGCAGTCTTTTATTGGGATTTCAATCTTAATACCACTCCCTAAACGATTATTAATTCGGGCAACTTTTGGAAAAACCAATGCATCAGAAAGAATAGTCTAAATTAAACACACACACACATATATATATATGCATAGTATTAGTTAACTTCAAATTTAATGAAAATGTCGGCAGATGTAGTTACGTACCAAAGTTTTATTGAAACAAAAAGGTCTGTCTGAATTCCAATTGGATCCAGTGGCCACGGTAAATAAATGCCACACACATATACACACATATATGTGTGTATATGTGTGTGTGAGGTCCTTAAAATTCCCCATGTTTATGGCTTCCGAAAAGCTCGTATTAAATACACACAAAATGATAATTATTGATGGCCCCGTCCTAATTTTTAAATTCACGACTTTAATCATAAGCTCAAAGATTTATATATTCTTCGCAATTATACTGTAATCTTGTGATAATTGATCATTACAGACAAAAGATGCATCACAATCACTCCTAATTCTATATTCCATACATTTTATTGTAGACCATATATTTTACGGCTACAAAAAATCTTCTGCTCCACCATATATAATATATTATATATTTATATAATCTTATCTGAAAAATGATATATATATATATATATATAATGCATTTTAGTTATTGTGAAATATTTTATACGGTGGGGAAATGTCAAGTGTTTTCGAGACTTTCTTACCTAATATCAAAATTTATATTGCAACGAGTCATACATATATAATTATGACGGACCACGATTTCAAACATATCGAATGATTAGGGCTATAAAGATAAAAAGAGAGGACAATAATCAGCAACTACTACTACACGGTAATTTCATAATTCACGAAATTACGAGTTTCCTCAATTAGCAAACGACAATTGAAAGATGCATGCTTTCGTTTATGATCGATCAAATGATTGTAAATTTGTAACCATGCATTCTTCAACATTGTCAACGGTTGCAATCCAATTATAGAACCGAAATCACTATTTATCAATGCATCATTCTTAGAGAATCTGGTTAATATCTGTTTTTCGTAATTTTTTCACACAAAAAACGAGTATCTTTAAAATTACCTTTTTACGAATAATGTTACCTTTGATGTTCGTAAAGAAAAAAAAAACGGATTAGAAAGCGGGAATTTTTTTAAATATTTATACAATTCCTTACCTCAAGAGATTAATTTATGAATAGTTATGTTAGGATCGAAATGGTCCACGTTTGTTTTCGGTCAAACAAAAAATAGGATTATGTAAAAACTGATATAATAAAAAAAAAACGAAAACAAGAAATTAAGGATCAAGGGTAGAACCGTCATTTCGAAATCGGAGAAGGGGAAGAAGAACAAAAACAGAACCACCTTGTCATCCCTAACACTTAAACATTTGTCTTGCTAGCGAGAAAGAAGATAAAAACCGTCCCCACCCCTCCCTCTGCCAAACCCTTTCATATGCATTTTCTCTATGAATTTTCACACTTTATATTTATAATTATATATTATATTTCTATCATTATAAATAATTCACATGTTACGCAAGTTTTATGTAGACGAATCGAGTTGTTTTTGTGAGAGAAAAATAAACGGAGTGATTATATTTATATGAAAAGAGGGTATTACATTATATAAGATGATAAAGATATATAATAAAATAATTAAAAATACATGCACGCTCTCCAAGCTCTTATTTTATTCATTCCCCTAACTTGTCGCCGGGAGTGCGATTAACACTAAGACTCCCAGAAAGATAACAGGAGAGAGAGAGAGAGAGAGAGAGAGAGAGAGAGAGGTGTCTCTGTGGTTGACAAACTCTCTTGCACTTAGAGTGACAGATAAGTAGTTTTCTTTTTTTCTTTTTTTTTTTAATTTCTTTGCCTGAAACTTTAAATCTTTAAGAAAGCTAAAGGGCATGATAATCGTAGGAAATGATACTGGGTTTTTGGAAATGAAGTGAGAGAGAAGAGGGAAGAGAGAGAGAGAGAGAAAGAGAGAGAGAGAGATGGTGGGCTCAGGTAGGGGAGGAGGAGGAGGAGGAGATAGAAGCAAAGATGCTGTAGGAATGATGGCACTTCACGAAGCACTTCAAAGCGTCTGTCTCAATTCAGACTGGACTTACTCTGTATTCTGGACCATCCGTCCTCGCCCGTACCCTTCTCCCTCCTCCTCTTCTTTGCTTTCTCTCTCTAGATTCTTGACCTTTTGGCTCATCTCTCTCTCTCTCTCGTTACAGGAGGGTTCGTGGTGGTAATGGCTGCAAGGTCGGCGACGACAATGGCTGCTTGTGAGTTCTTCTTTCTTCCTTCTTTCTCCTTCTCATCTCTTGTTTCGCTTTTACCACTTCTGGGTATAATCCGATTTCTCTTTTTCATCTCATTTTATTCACTCACCGTCTCACACTTGCAGTGATTATGAGTTCAGAGCTTTGTTAATCCATAAAGAAAGGAACTTTTTCTTACTTGCTCAGGATGAGAAGGAGAAGGAAAACAGAGCAAAGTCTCTCACTTGGGCTTTTTCTTTTTTGCGCTGACTTTTTTGTTGTGTGTGTTTGGATTTTGATGTGATGAAAGGATGCTGATGTGGGAAGATGGGTTTTGCCGTGGAAGAACTGGGGATTGCCTTGAAGACATTGAAGGCGAAGATCCTGTCCGAAGAGCTTTCAGCAAAATGTCCATTCAGTTATATAATTACGGAGAAGGGTGGGTACTCGGTAGGTGATAATACTAGATTTTCACTTATCGTTAATCATCATCATCGTCATCCTAATGCTTTCCTTAATCACTATCAACTTCTGATTAAGACGACCAAGTTCAGTTACCTTAGCTTCATAGTTGTTATGATCCTCTATTGTCCTGATTCTTTCCTTCTTGTGTTTCAGATTGATGGGTAAAGTTGCATCTGATAAATGCCACAAATGGGTGTTCAAAGAGCCGTCTGAATGCGAACCCAACGTCTCCAACTACTGGCAGAGTTCTTTCGACGCCGTAAGCGATTTTTCGATCATCCGATACTGTCATCTTGTTTTCCAGATCTTGAATTATCTTTTATGTTAGATGTGGTATTTATTATCTTGATGGTTACCTTACTGGTTTTTTTTTTCTTTCTATGTTTTGTTGGTCAAATTTATTGCAGCTTCCCCCAGAATGGACCGACCAATTCGAATCGGGCATTCAGGTCAGCAGCCGCCTAAAGAACTCGCCCTCAGGATTCGTTTTCATGATCACTGTTCTTGGTCTTCAAAGGGTTTAACTTTACGTTTCTTCGTTCTATTTGTCTTGGCCAGACCATTGCTGTCATACAAGCCGGGCATGGCCTTTTGCAGCTGGGTTCGTGCAAGATCGTGAGTCTTCCATTTACGAAACCCTGTTTCACGATCTTTTCCTGTCCTATTTTCAGACATGACAGCAGTTCTTTTTCGGTTGTCCAGATACAGGAAGACCTCCATTTCGTGCTGAGGATGAGGCACACGTTCGAGTCGTTAGGCTACCAATCAGGTTTTTACCTCTCGCAGCTCTTCTCTTCTAACCGGACATCGCCCTCTCCGTCCTCTGTCCCGGCCAAGCCGTTCTCTCTACCGAACCAGCAGCCTCCTCCCCCTGTCTTCAACTGGGCCGGTCGGACCGCCGGTTCGTTGCTTCCTTCGCCCTCTTTCCACGACCCGTCAGCCACGGTCGGAGGGTTCATGCAGGAGGGCACTGCCCAAATCCTTCCGACCTCGCACGACAACAGCATGATGGAGGAGAACGAGAACGATATCAAATGGCCGAACGGTCTATCTTTGTTCGACGCTCTAACGAGTCACGTGGACGAGTCGACTCGGCTCTTGTTTAACCACCCGGCGAGTCTCGAAGGGAAAG